AAATAATAAATTTAAAATCTAATTAATTAAATTATATTTTTTAAAATAAAAAAATTAATTTTAATACAATATTATCCAATGAAGAATAATATAATTAAAGGAAAGTTACATTCAAATACCGAATATTGGATGTTATTGTCCTAATGAATGAGATTTGGACTCATTTTCAACTAAGAAAAACCCTAAATATTTTGATTTTTTAACTTCTCTTCTCGTACAAATAGAAGTTGTTGCGTAATTTAAGACTAATTAAATTGTATTATCGTGTTTCTTTCCAGGCTATAGTACTCATATAGAAATTTGGTCTTCAAGTGTGTGTACCATTACCTCATATTTTATTTGTTAGAATTTAGAAATGGAGAATTGACTTGTTTTTTTGACTGTTTGAAAGTTCGGCGGCTTTTATTTTAAAAATATATTTAATTTTAAAAAAATATTGAATTGACTTGTATCGTCCTGTTTTTCATATATATATATATATATATAATTTTAATGATTTAATATTAAAGATCAAAAAATTAAAAAATATATATATTATATTTCAAACAAAAAGTACACACTAAATGTCTCTAAACTCCGAATTGAAAGATGGGAGCAAAGCTTAACGTAGTACATTGACTTAATTCCTCGTAGTACAGTCTTTATTTGATTAACGTGAAAGAACAGAGAACTGAACGCATTGATTCCTTTCACTTCCTTGGTAGCTCAGGCGAGAATGTCGTCTAGGTCTGGTCGAGCTTTCATCACAACCTCCAATGGCTGAACTCTGGACATGAGGGTCGCAACCTTCTCATCCATGTTAATCTCCTTGCCGTCAACCGTATCCCATTCGAAGCACTGAATCAATGAGCCCAAAGTCAAGGTCATTAACCTGTAAGCGAGGCCCTCCCCGGGGCAAGATCTCCTTCCTAATCCGAACGGCATTAGTTTGTATGCTTCGGTTTTTCCGTTCAGGAACCTCTCGGGCTTGAAACTTAATGGCTCATCCCAAACCTTAGGGTCTCTCTGAATAGACCATGCATTTGCAAACACCATTGTACCTGGTGGCACATCGTATCCTCCGATGGTACAATGCTCGGATGCCACATGTGGTACTAGCATGGCGGCCACCGGATACAGTCTCAAGTTCTCGGAAATGATACCTTGAAGGTAGTGTAGTTTTGAGACGTCTGGTTCTTCAATCAAGTGGTCTTTTCCAAGCTGGGTGTCTAATTCTTCTTTCGCCTTCTTCAATACATGTCGATTGTTGAGCAGATTGCAAATTGCCCATTCCAAAGAGGCAGCTGAAGTCCTGGTTCCGGCGACTGCCATTATCTGCGAAGAACAGTTCATGATTAGAAATTTAAAAATGAAATGGATAGGAATTTTATGATTTTGGTGAATAACGTTATAGTCAGAACTGAAACTAACCATAATTAGGCCTTTGATTATTGAATCCGTATAGGACTGGGGTTGTGCTTCCTGCAAAGTCAGCAAGTGGCTAACCATGGTGTTCCGATCCCGGTCAGCGCGATGCTCATCAATCAGTCTTTGCAAGAAGAGATCCATGTTCTTGCTAAGGGTTTTCATTCTCTTAACAAACCCGTTATAATCAATATTGCTCAGAATGGGAAACAAGTCCCCTAGATGTGTCTCCTTAGCGAATTCACCATACTGATTCATCATGTCCCTAAATTGCAGCGCCTCCTCGAGCTCACTCACGTCTTCACCATAATACCGCTTTCCGGCAAGCATCGTCATTACTATGTTAAACGTCAGGTCCAAAATCATGGACCTTAGCTCCACCTTCCCTGCATTTTCACCAGATACACGAGAAACCCTCTTCATGAGATTCTTGACCTCCTTCTTACGAAGTTCTTGAAACCCATTGAGACGTTTCGGTGAGAAGATCTCATTATTGCCTATGCGGCGAAGGTTGCGCCAATGATCACCATAGTTGGCTGCTCCCATGGTGGTGAAGTTGTAGTTCAGGTACTTTCCGTGGCAAAAGGGGGGACGATTGGCCAAAATCACATCATTCTTAGTAAAGCATTCTTCAACAGCTTCGGGTGAGTTTACAATGATCACGAAGCGGGAACCGAATCGAAGTGACATTATGGGGCCAAATCTTTGTGAGAGGTTGTGGATGGTTTGGTAGATAGGTTGTTTCATGAGATGGAGATGACCAATGATCGGAAGGGCAAACGGGCATGGAGGTAGATTCTTGTATTGTTGCTTTCTTGTCTGCAACAAGAAACTGAGAGCAATAACAACGAAGGAGATGGTGAGGATTAAGAACATCATGGCGTCTTCCATCTCCTTGGTTGTGATAATCTGTTTCTGCGCTAATCTTGCGTCCACGTATATATATAAAATAGCGCCCAGTACCCTCCCTTCCTCAGAGGGCTAGCTAGGTAATTAACTTAGAGCTGACGTTTACCAAGCCAAACTTGACTGAAGAATTCAGAAGCGGCCAGATTCTATGCGAGAGTTGCCTAAAAAAATATTCCAATTATTACACTATACGATAGCAGTTATTTTAAAAATATATGAAAATAAAATTTTTTTTATTTTTAAAAAATTATTTTTAATATGAAAACATCAAAACAATTTAATAATATCAAGAAATTTAATTTAAAATAAAAAATAATATTTAAAAAAATACTTTAAAATACAAACCACAAACCGCTTCTTAATTTGTTTCCAATTCTATTGTCAAAACAGCATTGTTTATTGACGAAGAAGCGGTCTACAAAGACCAGCGGGTGATTAAGTGAAAAAATAAATAAAAATAAATTGTTTACATAAATATTGTATAAATCAGAATCATTCGCCTATAATTGAAATTGAAAGACGAGTTTAATTCTTTAAAGCAAAAAAAAAAATTAAAGATTAGTAATTAAGGATTGTTAACCTCAGAGAGGTTAACAATAACACCAAATCCATTTTTCACTTAACTCGTGATGTTGAGGATTTTTAGAAAGAAAAGATTTAGTTTTTTTTTCAAAAATAACTTCCTTTATAGTGTTTTTATTTTTCTCATATATTTTGAGATTAATAATTTTATTTTTTAAATTTATTTAGTATTTTTATTGTTTTTTTTATTTTAAAGTTTTTTTAACTTATATATGTTACTTTTTAGATTTATATAAGGAGTTGTAAAATTTTTATGGAAAGTCTTACAACTCATTGTATAAATAAATAAAATATAATTCAAGACTAATTAAATTTAATATATCCAATAAAATTTTATTATTAAATCAATCAGTTGATTGAATTGACCAACCAATCAATCATTACATAAACCAATTGATCAGTCAATTTAGATTAATCAATTAGCTGATAGCAACATCTGAATCAGTCAATTGATACATACCAACCAGTTGACTAATTGGTTAAAATTTCTAGAATCCTAACCTACCAATTTTCAACTCTATAAATTTCTTAAAAACACAAATTTTTATTCAACAAATATATAATCCAAACATTAAATCAATTTGTTTTAGTCCAATTAATCATCCTAAAACATCAATTAATTTCCTTAATTCATTAGATCCTCAATCAATATAAAACCCTAACTTCTTTATTAATTTTTCTATAAACAACTCAAAAATTTTAAAAAAATAAAATGATCATTTATTTGATGAGAGAAGGGTCACGGCAATTATAAAAACAAAAATGCTCTTAACAATTTTTTTTTAAAATATTTAGATTATCTAAGATGGGCTAGGGCTAATTTGGGTTTGGGTTTGAAATAAAAATTTGATTCTTATAATGCATTAATTTGATCTAGTTAAAAAAAAAATCGCCTAGAATTTATATAATTTAACCTGATTGACTTGACAAATCAACTTATAAGTTTGATTTTTAAAAATAATTTTTTTTCAAAACAAAGTTATTTTTCTATTTTCTTATAAAATTATTTTAAATTAAATATTATCAATCTCTATATTATCTCACTCGACCAGTGACCTGTCCTATAGGTATCATATAGTGAAACTATTAGAAAATTTATAATTTGAGTGAGAACTGATTTAACTATGAAAAATACTTAATAAACTGTACACAAGACCTTAAGCTAGTGGATCTTTTACACCCAAACTCAGAGAAAAAACAAAATGTTTTCAAGCTTATAGTTAAAGAAGCTCGATTGAAACACTCGAAATTTATTGAATTTGAAATACGCAAATAGTATATACATCATTCAAGCAGTACTCCACCAACTTCAAACTGGAATGGATAAGCTTATCACAACCTCCTTACTCAGCTGATCATAAACAGTGGAGTGGAGTACATAATACAGCATTTTACATGTTAAAGTCATACCTTAATTACAGTAGATAACATCACTGAAGCAGTGGAGTGGAGGGCATAACACAACATATTACATGATGAAGCCACGGCACCATACTGATCCATGATAGGCATTGACAGATGAGTGATGAGCTTGTGTCCTGGATCTTTAGCTGGAACCCAAACAAGGATATCATTGGCTAGAGAGTGACGAATGATCACCCTGGGCTTAGCTTTAAGAAGTTGAAAGGCTAATTCCTTTGGGTTCCAAGCGGATTTCTTCATGGCAAACAGACACTGCTCTACCCTAGTCCCATCAGCACCAAGAAATGGAACAGTATAAGCCTTGGTGCCCTGCATTTAACGGTGTTGGGTGTGACAATTGTTAAGTGTGGCATGTGCAGGATGTGAAGTGTGATGAAAAGAAGAAAAAAGTAAACATGGTCTCTACGGTCATGAGTCAACAGTCTTTGAGTACATTTTGCTGTTAAACTACTGGACGGAAGGATAAACACTTAACCACCGCTATGCGCCACCCTGCTGGTTGATTGTCACACAAGCCGACAAGCCCACCACAAAACCCACCTCTTATACCCCCCTATCACATGGTTTTGCTTCCCAATGGAAAGGGACTGTGTTCTACTTTGTAATATATAACACTCCCTTCCTTTGCCTTCTACTCATCACAATACAAGCATTCCTCATTCTAAATTCTAAAGCTTTCTTCCATGATTAGTGCCAAGAAGCTTATCAAATTGGCTAGAAAATGGCAGAAGACGGCTGTTATCAGGCGAAAAAGAATCACACTGCCACAAACAGACACAAGCAGCTGTAGCACATCATCTACAGCTGAGAAGGGCCATTTTGTTGTGTACTCTGCAGATCAGAAACGGTTTTTGCTTCCTCTAGATTATCTTAACAAAGCATTTGTGAGAGAGCTACTTGAACTGGCAGAAGAGGAGTTTGGATTGCCTAGCAATGGACATCTCACGTTGCCGTGTGATGCAGAGCTAGTGGAATATGCAATTGCTTTGATCAATCAGCATGTCACTAGAGATGTAGACAAGGCATTGTTGTTGTCCATGGCTAGCAGTCACTGCTCAACATCGTCGGATCTCCATCAGCAAGTAACAGTCCATCAATTACCAATTTCCGGCTTCTAAAGAGTAGATTAGTTTTGTAAACAGTGCAAACAAGTTGACATTGATAAATTTTGTAGAAAAATCATGAGATAAATGGTTCCATTGATAAAGTTTGTGGAGTATAGTTTAAGAGAAACCTCTGCAAATTCTAGTTTACGGATACAATTATGTTAAAACTTTTTGGATAAGTGGCCTCATGCTTAAAGCATAACATTACAAGAGTGCATCTGCCTATGAACAAAATGAAGAATAACAAAAATTCTCAAACATAGAAGCTCGCAGGCTGCAACTGGTACTATTAAACGCCATTCCGACTAACAACACGGAAATAAAAGTGGAAATCACTATCGCCAGACAAAAAACAAAAAACAAAAAAAAAAAGGAACCAGACACATGGCTTTGCACTCATACTATAAAAAATTTACAAATAAGCTCATGTGGAATGTCCAGTTCTAAAAACAACAACAGGATCAGATTTGGAGACAACTATAGCATACAACATCAGATTCACCTAGTGTTTCGTTATCTGAAGTACAACACTGAAACAAATTGCTTCAAGACCTTTCTCCCACAAGTGATTGCTCAAGTTCCTCCCTCCGCTGCTCTAATTCCTGTGATCGTTAATCCAAGATTGTTAATAGAGGAAAATCTGAGTAACAATCCATATTTGTAAAAACAATAGACAGAAATCAATAAATCACTGGCAAAAGAACACCATTTGCCTAATAAAACCAACTGCATACTCTCGAAAAAACAAACCGTGTGCAAGCACATGTATATCAGATTGAGAATCTTATTGCCTTGCATTTTCACCCTTGTCTGATTTTAATACATCCTGACGACTTACATGACTGATCATGGAAGTCTGTTTGCTTACAGATTTGATTGGGGCATATCAAAACCGTTTCTACAGCATTATTGTGACAAGCGCTCACTGCTTGTAGCACTTCAAGTTTTAGAAATGCAACAAAATTTCGATCCATTTCCTCACATTGGCTTACCGTTTCATAGCTCAGATGAGCTATGATATATTTCTCTTCTTGCATGCATTGTAAACAAACAAAGATGCCTGTAGGGATCTTAGAACTCAGGTTCCTGTTTGTCGCTAAAATCTCATATCATGACTTGACCTCCAAAAAGCGATAGCATGGATAAAACTTAATGCATAACTTGGAGGAGTAACATGCACATACAGGCTTGGACTAAAATGAAAAACAGGGAACCTCATATAAACACTCAATACCAATCATCATTTCAAGAGCTACAGCAATACACAGCTCACCTCCAGATCCTTGATAGCCTGCTCCCTCGTAGATTTTTTCTTCTGATGAGCCCGTTTGAGACACCCGATGCACAGAATTCCCTACATTCAAGAGCAACACACCATTGGATTTAGAAGTAAGTTATTGTAATCAACCATACTCAATTTAAACCAAAGCCCCCCCAATCCGTCTATCATCTTACCAAAACAACATAAACTACACCACAAGCAAGGAGCAAATAACTTGCTACATTTTCTAGAATAACAAGCTGCTTCTGCTTTGAAGAATAGTCAGGGAAAGCTCTCGTCATTACCGCAACACTGCAAAAAGAAAAACCATCATCTTAAACCGTACGACTCTACGCAACCCTGTGTAACGCACATTTTGCCGTCCTCGTTGAAACAAATGACTTACAAGATTTGCAGCATGCCCCTGCCAACCCAATACTCCAGTACCTGCAGAATATTAATTAAATAAAACAGTTAACATTTTCACAAATTCCAGCATGGTAATTTATTAGAGTAAATTAATTAATTAATCATAAATTAATTAAATTCGATTCAATAAATTAAAACAAGTGAAAATGTCAAAATATTCATCACCAAACTCCAATTTTCACAGATTAAACACACGAGCAAAATATAAGATGAAAATTTAAAAAAAAAAAATTACGGGACCTTCCAGTACTTGATGATAAATCCCCACTCAGTCTCGGCAACCACCACAATAACCGCAATAATCACCGCATAACACCTGAATATTCCATCAAAAACCTTCACAAAACAACAACCAGTCAGCAATCAACACCTCACACACACGCTCACCTATACATATATAAAGATAGTCTTACATCAGACCCCTTTTTGAAGGATTGAATGGCAGAGAGAAGGTTGACGGCAATACAAAGAATGGCGGTGAGTGCAGTCACAACGCTGAAACACCTACAAATGACTAACAAGAGGTCCGGTCCAGATCGAGCTCGTAATGAGCTTAATGATTCTCGAGGAGACGGAGGCAAAGGAACTGTCTCTTCGTTTCTCTCCATTGAAGCTGAATCGAAACGTGTCTAGGTGGATGGAGAAAAATACGTTTGTTTTTTATGTCTTCTAGTTCTTGAGCGGGATTCTCTTCTTATCTTTCGGCCGATGTTCACGAAAGGAAAGGAAAGTGGCGGCAGACCGACACGTGTCGGTTCAATAATGATGTAACTGACACGTGTCAGCGGAATTTTCACGATGGATTTTATGGGCTTTGTGTGGCCCGATTAACTTTGGGCCGAAGAAGAGCATATGGCATGTTGGGCCGGAGTTAGAGGGAAAAAAACCAATGAACTGACACGTGTCAGCGGAATTTTCACGGTGGATTTTATGGGCTTTGTTTGGCCCGATTAACTTTGGCATATTGAGCCGGATTTAGAGGGAAAAAAAACAAAGAAAACGAAGATTTTAAACAAATATATATATATAAAAAAGGTATTTTTTATACAACCACCAACATATATATATATATATATATAAAGGTATTTTTTACAACCACCATCCCTATAACCGAAATACCAAGGGTGTGTGTGTTTAGACTTAATTTATTTCTCTAATTTTAAACAAAAATAAAAAATAAATAAGAGAAAAACATTTTACACATACCCAACACTTTACAAAATTCTCTTGTCCAAACATTAGTCTAGATACTATATTGGGAGTCAAATTTATAATTGTGGGATTATTTGAGGTTTGCTCACCACTACTCTCAATACCAAATCATTTTATTTTATTTTTTTATTGTTTTTTAATGATTGAGTTTGAGTTTGAGTTTTTACAGAATATCTGGAAACTTACATTGCTCACCACTACTCTCAATACCAAATCGTTTTTTTTTTTAATTATTGTCTTTTAATGATTGAGTTTGAGTTTTTGCAGAATATCTGGAAACTTATATAATCACGTAAAAATAGTTGAGATGTATACAATTACCCACATAAATAAAAAATCATCTTTTCTTCACCAACCCAAAGCATTTCTTGAAACAGACAAATCCTTCCCACATGCAAGTCTTCCAAAAATCCAATCAAACCTTAGCTAACAAAGGCTTTAATATTCAAAAGCAATCCGTAATTTCCTCTGTCTGAGTCATAAATACATGCATAATTGCATATGCCGTAAGAACTCTATTTCCACAGCCACATAATCACAAAGAAAAACATCATCAAGATGGACAAAATTGAAGAAGAGATTGCAGCACAAAATGGCAATTTGGAAGAGAGCTCAAGTACAAAAGATGGTTCAATTTGTGGGTATGAGTCCCTTCACCACCTTCTAAGCGTCAATCTCAAGCCTCATCTATACAAGGTAACTTTTCCTTTCTCTGTTTTTTTTTTTTTTTTTTTTGTGTGTGTGTGTGTGTGTTTTCTTATTGAAGTTTGAGCAACTTTTGATGGGTTAGTTTACTGATTGGCCTATCTGCGGCGGTTATATCTTTGGTGGATTAGAAAATTTTGATGGGTTGGACAGAGAAATCTCTCATCTTTCACTGATTTTATTTAGTTGTTTTGTAGGACTGTTTATTTTTCTGTTTAACTGAGTCTGTAGCTGCAAAGATTGAAACTTTATGGCTATAGTAGGGGATTTACCTCTTTTGCTGGAGATGGGATGAGTTCTGTCACTTGTGTGATTGTTAATGTTGTGATTTTATAGGGTTTGATTACATTTGAATTCCATGTTGATTTACTGACTAATTGTAAGAAACTTGTGAACCATTAAGGTTGCCTGGAAATCTTATGATGTTTGATACATATGTTTCAGGAAGTCAGTCGCTTGCTTATTGGACTGAATTGTGGAAAACCTCTCGAGATTATTGCTCTCCCGGAATCTGCAAAAGCCCTCTCTTCGAAACATGATTTTGACCTCCAGGTAGGTGCTTGTCCCACCTTTGGTTGTGGCAGTTAATGTTGAATCTTTTCGAAGAATTAAGTTCCCTGTTCAATATATATAAATAATTTGTCTTTGGGCATTACGTAGATGGTTAGAACAGATGATTTAGTTCTTGGTCCAAAACAACGTGCTAGAAATGGTCGTGCAGGTGTTTTGGAGCTAACACTTTGTATAGGCATCACTTGTTTGGATGGGATAGATGATCAGTTCAATGCTTGAACTGTCACTTAAGTTTTCTTCCCATTCTAAGATGGAACCTTTAAATCTTTGATGCTAGGTTATTGATTTTTCTGAAACTTAAATCATTAAAATTTTCAGGCCTTTTCCTTTGATGCTGACAAGGAGTTGGTGCGAGAACCTCGAGTAGTCAGGGTGGGTCTCATTCAGAACTCTGTAGCTCTTCCAACAACTGCCCCATTATTGGACCAAAAAAGAGCTATCTTTCAGAAATTGAAGCCAATCATTGATTCTGCAGGTGCTTCTGGAGTCAACATATTATGCTTACAGGTAAGCTGAGACATGAGGTTTAAACTGATTTTGATGATTATTGTCCATTGCATTCCGAAAAATATGATGTTATTTCTCATATAATTATAACCCAGGAAGCATGGATGATGCCATTTGCATTTTGTACCCGGGAGAAGAGGTGGTGTGAATTTGCTGAGCCTGTTGATGGGGAATCAACACAGTTTCTTCAGGAATATGCGCGGAAATACAACATGGTCATTATAAATCCAATTCTTGAGAGAGATGTTAATCATGGAGAGACTCTCTGGAACACTGCTATTATAATTGGAAATCATGGAAACATAATTGGCAAGCATCGGAAGGTAATTCTCGTGCTATTTGTTTGTGTGTTATGTTGTTCCTGGTGTTCTTTTTCAAAACATTATGATTTTGCATTTTTCAGAACCATATACCTAGAGTCGGTGATTTCAATGAAAGCACGTATTACATGGAAGGAAATACCGGGCATCCTGTGTTTGAGACGGCTTATGGGAAGATTGCTGTCAATATATGTTATGGGAGGCACCATCCATTGAATTGGTTAGCATTTGGCCTGAATGGTGCAGAGATTGTTTTCAATCCTTCTGCAACTGTTGGTGAACTCAGCGAACCAATGTGGCCTATTGAGGTTAATACCAGTTTGCTGTGTTTCATGCTTAGAATGCGTGCAATAGTTCGGGTTTTTGTTATTGTTGGACAAATTGAACTTCCAAAAGTCAACATGTTGCTTATCACTGGTCACTGACATATTACTGATGGTTTTACAGGCTCGTAATGCTGCCATAGCAAACAGCTACTTTGTTGGGTCAATCAATCGTGTTGGAACTGAGACATTCCCTAATCCATTCACTTCCGGCGATGGGAAGCCAGAACATGCAGATTTTGGGCATTTCTACGGGTCTAGTCATTTTTCAGCTCCAGATGCTTCTTGCACACCCTCCCTCTCACGTTACAAGGATGGATTATTGATCTCAGACATGGATCTAAACCTCTGTCGGCAGCTGAAAGACAAGTGGGGATTTCGGATGACTGCTCGGTATGAGTTATACGCTGACATGCTTGCCTGTTACTTGAAGCCAGACTTTGAGCCCCAAGTCGTCTCCGATCCCCTGTTACATAAGAAGTCTCTGTAACTCTCAGGAGTTGAAACTTGCAATCTGTGAAAAATACAAGCTTTCGCTGGATTGTATCTTGAATCATCATCTGAAATAAAGAATTCATGTTTGTAAATATTCAGACACCTTTTATCTGTTGATGAACTAAGGATTGAATGACAATAAAAGAAGTTGAACAGACCCTTTTGGGACTGAAGTGAAGAAGAACCAGCATGAATGGCTGAGATTGCTAATAAATGGCTGTGAGTGCACAATCAAATGAGTTGGGATTATGAAAAAAAAATGATCTAGTTTAAACAATAGTCGGATATCATGTGCCTTGTATTGATCAACGTTATTATGTAAATAAGAACTGATTCGTTGAGCTCTCCCTTCAAAGAAGTTTGTTTTGTACCAATGGACCTTTTCTTAGTTTAAATGCACGTGTTCTGCCTCTCATGATTGTCGGATCTGACAAGGGTTTGGATAGTTGAGTCAATTCAATTAATTTTAAGAAAATAACAGCATTTTATTTTAATTTTTCTTTACAAAAGATTGATCCAATATTATCAAATCAATTGAATATAACCATGCTAACTAATAATTAAAAACTCGATAAGATTTAATAGATTTAGTTATGTCAATATTTTGTTAGATGTAATTAAAAACTTAATCTAAATTATGTTTTATGTCTTTGATTTTTCAAATTAATCTTAACATTAAATCAGGTTTAATAACTTTTTATTTAACTCTATATTTATATATTTAGCGATGCATTGTTTTTATGCATAAAGAAGAAAATTAAAGAAAATAAATCTAAAGTTACAAATAGTTTCCTTAGTTTTTTTAAATAAGTTTTAAAAGCATATTTCACTTGAAAAAAAATTAATTTTTTTTTAGTATTTTTAAATAAAATATTATAAATAAAAATAAAAAAATTTAAAAAAATCATTTTAATTTATTTTCAAGTAAAAATTATAATTAATCCCATCACCTTGTGAGTGTGCATGCATGTTTTGGTGTTTTTGGTTGAGAATTATGGTTAAGAACTTTGTGAAGATGGGAAATTTGGGATTAGGAAGTAAAGCATTACTCTTTTTTCAGGCTATATAGTTTATTATTTGAATTGGGAAAAATAGAAACTGTGTTCAACTTGGTTTTGAAAGTGATATCTGATTGACTTGTTGTATTGCATATGTGCATGTGCCGTTGTTCTTATTGGTGTGACTTGTGGTTGGGAATTGTGAAAAGAAGGGATCTTTGTGACTGGGAAGTGCAGTGTGTTGGATTTAGGGGAATCTGTGCTTGCTGGAAATGTTGGTGCCCTCTGATTTTCCTGGAATGTATTAGAAGGTACTGATACTTCAAATTAGAAAGGTTGAAACATTGGATTTTTTAAAAGATCAGAACTCTACACTTGACCTTTTCAATTCTTTTTAAAAATTTCTATGATCCAAGTGGGAAATAAAAAGATTTGGCAAGCGAAAAACATAAACTGACGGTAGTTCTTACTGTTTTGTGTGATAAACAAGCAAACTGTGATGGAGGGAATGCAACTTTATATAGAATCAGATTTTTCTTTAAATGCTGAGAAATTCTCTCCTGCCTTGCAGTTGCGATTAGGCAATGCTGTAAACAGAGAGGATTATGAAGATGCTGCTAGGCTTGAAGTGGCAATTGCAGCTGTAGCAACAAATGATATTGTTGGCAGAGTGATGTCGCTGCTGAATGTGAGTAATTTAACCTGTAACTCTGGTTTTCGAAAGGAGTAAAATGCTGAAATTTCTTCTGTTAACCAGTCTTCTTGTTTTCTTGCGGGGGCTGATTCAGAGAGCATTAGAACAGAGCATCACCTGGAGGCAGCTTTCTTACGAGAGCGAAAAACATAAACTGACGGTAGTTCTCACTGTTTTGTGTGATAAGCAAGCAAACTGTGATGTAGGGAATGCAACTTTATATAGAATAAGATTTTCTTTTAAATGCTGAGAAATTCTCTCCTGCCTTGCAGTTGCGATTAGGCAATGCTGTAAACAGAGAGGATTATGAAGATGCTGCTAGGCTTGAAGTGGCAATTGCAGCTGTAGCAACAAATGATATTGTTGGCAGAGTGATGTCGCTGCTGAATGTGAGTAATTTAACCTGTAACTCTGGTTTTCGAAAGGAGTAAAATGCTGAAATTTCTTCTGTTAACCAGTCTTCTTGTTTTCTTGCGGGGGCTGATTCAGAGAGCATTAGAACAGAGCATCACCTGGAGGCAGCTTTCTTACGAGATAATGCTGGTGCTGGTTGTTGCTGCATCTGATATGTGTTTTTTCTCAAGCTATGTTCTTCTTTTTCTAAATAGAATGTTCACCATGACATCTCTCTCTCTCTCTCTCTCTCTCTCTCTTTCTTTTTTTGCAGTACATTAAAGGTGGGCCTGTTGTTGGGTTCGTGTATGGGGTTCCTGAACATCATGATGTTATTCAATCACCTGAGGCTTCAACAGTAGATGCTGGTGTACATTATAATTGAGCTTGTATATTCTTCCTCCTTATTTGTCCGGGCATGTTATTCCTTGTTAAAATAGGTTAATGAAGTCTTAGTAAATCTGCCATAAGATACACAATTAGCTTTTAGTTTGTTTTCATTTTAGTGGACCAGACTGGATTACAGATTTGATCTTACAGCCTAGCATGTTGCTTCTGCTTCTATTGTGAGCCCTTGGTACGAGTGATCAGCTCTCATAGAGCTGATCCAATTATATAGCTCTTTATTACTACTTTGCGTAGACACTGAGATAGATGCTGGAGTATAGTGGCTATTGATTTGGGATGATCTGTGGGAAAATGATTACTCTGCAGGAACCTTGTGCTGTGCTATATTGCATATAAGAAATTAATAAAAATGCAACTTCAACCATTTATTTTGTAAATGTAATTTGGTTGGTTACAATGCTGTTGTGTCAGGTTTTTCCGCAAATCTGGAAATCGATTTCATGCCTGCTTTAAGGATATGCTTTCCCTAGCTGCTTATAAGTAAAGCAGCTTTTGGTCCAACTTTGGAAAGGAAGTGTTCTCATAAAGAATTCTGAAACCCCTGGAAAATCAGGGAGAACCCTGTTGAGTAGCAACTTGAATTTGCATGGAATTCTGAAGGGTAGGAAAATTATTGCGTTTGGGACATTGTTTATGACTTGGCCCTCTCAACATAGTAGAGAAGTAGAGATTAAAGGTGTGTTCCTGTTTTTTCTTTCTTTCCTAAGGTGCTTTTTCTTTTAAAAAAGCATTAAATTTTTGTTCAGAAAAACTCTTTAGGTACATATATTATTATATTGTGTAGAAGAAATAGAGGCATGGTCTGCTAATAGCTAATCACATGAGATTGTACAGGCTCCGAACACCACCTCCATTGTTGCTAACTAGAGGTGAGGTGATGGGATTCATGGTTTCTTTGGTGTAACCAGTGACACCTCATTTGCTATTATGGCTCCCCTTTCCTTTGCCATGTAAAGGCCCATATGATGCATCAGCTCCTGCAAAGATAAACCATAAAAAGTAAAATAAAAAACTAAAAATTTGAGAGTGAGGACTGATGGGTGGTTTCTTCTATATTAATGGAGTATTCAAGTCTCTTTGATGGTGAAACTATAAGCTCGTTACCTGGGGATGAGATAAGGCACCTTTGGTGTTTCTTGCAACATGAAGAGGAACATCGAAGGTAGCACAGCCACGGGAATACACTATTACATCCTCCAGAGGGGCTAGAAATCCACGGTTTCTGGCAGATATTGTTGAACAGACAAAATCCAGAACACAGATGTCTGTGCATATGCCCACCACCAATATCTGCATTCAACAGATCACATAAATTGCATACGATCTTTTTTAAGCTTTTGTTTGTGTCATTGTGATTGAAAACATGCAAGAATGATGGCCACAGGTTCGCTTTATAGTGAACTTGTGACCTAGTATCGTGGCTTGTAGTGGACTTACAGCTTTTATATGATTGTTCTTCACCCAATCTACGAAAACATTGGAGCCATCATCCTCGACCGAGCCCAAGAACCCATCAAAGCAATCTTTGCGTCGGATTGTGACATTTGGTTCATTCTCTATCCATTGCAGTGCTGCATTTTATGGAACAAACAACATGCATAACTTCAGATCTATATCACCTTGTCGATTTTCCTCTTTTCCAAGGATCTAGAGGAAAGCAGATGTTCGTAGAAATTAATTCTTGATAATGGAAAGAAAACGTATTAAGAGAAGCTAAATACCAGGAACCAGCTTGGATTCATCCGTGCCAGCAATACAATGAGGGGGGTACGGTTCCTCAGGCTTGTTAGGTTGATGAGAATCAAGGAATGCCAGAACAGGCAGTTTCTTGTCACAGAACAACCTGGCCAGCCTTGCTGATTCATTGATCATTCCTGTAATCTGCCTGTTGGGTTCTCTCGGAGCCTGTAAACCAGATATGTAACGCTGAGCATGAAAGAGCAGAAAAAGTAAATAGCTATTGGTTATATACAGTCATGTAGAGTAGTTAGGATTAAAAATGTTTAAACTACCAGATTTCCAGCACCAGTACTGCAAAAACCATTGATGATATCCACAAGAGCAAGAGCAGCTACATCATCCCCCGGCAAAACCAGACTCTTGCTCGAAAGGAAGCTCATTTTTCAAAACATCTATGCTTTGAGACAGCATGTTTTTATCAACTACCAGCACAAAAACTGAATTCCACATTCAAGGGATTTTATCTTTTTTGGTGTTCATGAACAAATATATGGTGTCCAGACCATATTATGGACAATCGCAGGCATAACCCTCGTATTACACAGAAGGTCTGATAAAAAGGATAGATCCATGCATGCTAACCAACAAAATTCCATGACATGAATTTCATCTTTCTTGATTTGATTGTATAGTTTCAACTTCCAGCTGTCATTAATGCTATAAATTGGTATTTATTCAGTGGGAAAAAAATAGGATAAGGGCATAGCATATTGGCTTCCCTTGGTAGGTTTACAGCAAGAGAGAGATTAGTGCATACCTAGTCCAGTTTAAACACACACAGCAAGAAAAAAGAAACAAGGCACCTAATTATAGGGCCATGAGAACTTTTAATGGTCAAGAAAAGAGAGATTCAGTTACCAGATTTCCAGCACCAACAGAGCAAAAACCATTGATGATATCCACAAGAACAAGACCATTCACAACATCTTCGGGCAAAACCACCGACTCCTGCTCAAGAGGCAGTTCATTTTTCAAAAGATCAACAGTTTGGGACACCATTTTTTTTCTTTTTTCACTGCCACAAAAGCAAGAACAAAAGTGAAATGAATGAATCTTTCTTTGAATTACAAGGTTACGACATATGTGGACATTTTAGACAGCAGAATCTGGACTTAATATATCATATCCTAGTGCACGTGTCCATAGGTTGCCGGGTGTCATTAAGGGACAAGTCAAAAAGGTTTTGCATGTCCTTCCAACTGAATTTCCCTTTTCCCAATGTATTTTAATCAGCTATCTTATCTTATCTTGCAGTCCCTCAGCAAAATTATTGAACCCTAAGCCAACCAAGCTCCGGTTCAAGATTTATGGAGGTTAATCTAAATTAATATAAAATAATATTATTTTAAGAAAAAATTAAAATAGGCAAACAATATTTTTAAAAAATAACATCACCGAAACTCAATAAAGTTATGGATTCATCAATCAAATTGAAAAGATTAATTTTTATATAGTTTAATTATTATACAAATCATCAACTTTATCCATAAATTTAAAATATATTTAAAGTTGGTTTAGTATAGTAGCAATTATTTTTTTATTTATTAATATATTACTATAATATTTTTATTTTATTTTTAAAATTTATTTTTTATATTATTACATTAAAATAATTAAAAAATATCAAAAATATATTAATTTAAAATTAAAAAAAAAAAAGAATTCAAAACACTTGTAGGATATTAATAATTCTGCCTTTAGTTAGGCAACAAATGGGCCAACCCACTGTGATAGGCGAGGATCTCTTCCATATAACATATTTAATAGGCTTTTTTATATATAATTTGTCTTTTTATAGCACTATTTTATTTTTATTTTTTTGCGAACACAATAATAAAATAACCTTTGATTTTAGGTGTACATTAAAACACCATATAATCCCTTTTTTTCCCCTTAATCCACCATAGAAAAGAAATTTATTTATTTACATAGTTTATAGATTATGGGTTTTGATTTTATAGTATATTCAATGCAAAACAAAACAAAAAACATAAACATATCACTCAACAATCCCTCTAAATCTGAAAACAAAAATAGACTTTCTTCATTTCTATAATATTATTTACCTATTAGAAATAAAAGATTTTGAAGAATTCATTTTTAAAATATTTGAAGTTGTAGATTTTTTTTAAATATAATTGATGGATAGAGTAATTCATATAATAATATTTACCAAAACTGAAGGCAGCACACGCCTAAAAACTAATTCCATGAATATTTTAAATCTTATCTTGATTCATGCTAAAGGGAATTTTTATAGGGATGCAAACATGAAATTGCTTGCTTTTGGCAGCAAAAAAAGATCACTCATGTTGTCTTACTCAAATAGTAAATGAGTTTATATTTTTAGTTACCCTTCTAAGTTCAAATCTATGAATGGATTTGGTCCACCCAGAAACTTAATCTTGGAAAATTGACATTTGGTCCTCAAGAAAAATACCCTCCTGCTTTAATCTTGGAAAATTGACATTTGGTCCTCGAGAAAAATACCCTCCTGCTTCTTCAGTCTTCACCATCACGACACTGCTGCTTAAAATTTCTTCCATGGATAAAGAACTAACCCTAATTGCTTTATGTTTGCTTGGAATCACAAAGCACTCGTGTCTATCAGGCCAGCCCATACTGTTCCTTTGAAAGTCAGATTTATTTATTTTATTTGTTTTTTGTTCTTTTTAGTTAATGAGATCATTAGATGTAATAGGAAAATAGGACTTTTACAGAAAGCTTTGCAAGTAGGTTGCTTTGAACCCAAAAGAAAATATCACCAAAAATCTTGGCAGCCCATAAACGCAAAGCAGAGACTTTGGGCAAAAACAGGCATCTACTATGATACTACAAGCACCAATACACCGTCGCCAGTCCTTGAACCAGATTCAGCTAAAAAACAAACCTGAAACTCAAGCAAGAAATCTTGCTTTCACTCACAGAAGCGGATTCTACAAGAGAAGTAGCTCGAAATCAAGACTGAGCATGGCATAATATCACTGGCAACAACCCTGACAAAAGCAACGCCAAAACACTCTTTACACGAATTGACCTTGATAGAGAATAGCAAACCTCAGACTTCATTTAGTACAAGCAAGCTGCTCTTATGAGCACAGGCATTTCAACTTCAACTGTTAGCACACTGCAGCAAAGGCTCTATGGAGTTCTTGTATTTTTGAAACTGCATCCAATCCAGCAAAAGGATAGACACAAATTCAGTTTGGCAATCACAAAAAGAAATCAATTCCTAGTCAATTTGAGAAAATTGTTCATATTAATTCGATAACAAGCAAGCACACAGAAATTCGTCAATGGAATCAAAGGCAGTTCACCTGTTCAGCAATCTCTTCACGTTTGCTAACTAGCTTTTGAACTTTAGCAGCACCAGATTCATTTACCATGTTAGTCTTTGAAGTTATGGCATCCACCTGTTAATGGAACAAAAAAAACTTAGGTAATATCAGACTACTTCAGATCGATATGCATTGGTTTAGCATTATGTATAAATGTACCTCTGACAATACAGCTTCAACCCTCCTTTGTCTTGCTTCTAGATCGCGCCTCTTGGATTCCACCTCCGACTTAATAGTATTATATTCTTTACTAGCTTCCGCACACTTCATATCTCTTTCTTTCTCTAACAGCTTTTTTAACTCATTCAACTGTTGTGCTGGGAAAGGCAGAATATGCTATCTATCAGCTCCAAAGCATTCATAAATATAAAGACACCAACTTAACTCAAGTTTCATAAGAATTTACCTTTCATTTGTAGTTCAACCAGTTTGGCATCAAGTGACTTATCCGTCAGTCCATCGTCACTGAGCTTAGCTTTTAAAGCCTTATAGTCTTTTTCGATGGATTTGGCTGAATTTACCTATCAAAATTGGAAATTACATCCTGAGGATTCGGGAATTACATTCAGTCATAGCCTAACTAAACAGATAGTATGCTTTAGGAATATGCAGAGCCTGTTGCGTGGCACCATAAATTAATACTATAAACAGATAGCACTCAAAAGCCTATATGCGGCGCTAAAAGAAAATAAAAAGCAATCTGCGTGATTAGGTGTTTATTGATATTATAATAAGATATCATTTTCCTCTTGGTGGTCATGAAGTATTCTAAATGAAGCTGTTAGACCAGAATACTGAATTGCAGAGGACAAAAAAGTAGCCATGTGCTCACCTGCTCATGGATTGCCTGCATCTGATCGAAGTGCTTTGACATTTTCTTAAGAGCCTGAGAGTACAACTTAAAGATATCAGTAAAACTTTGTGTAGCTGATTATAAGAATCCAGTAAAAAATTGTTTAGCTGATTATCCAACAGGCTAGACACAGGAAACACCACTGAAGTAAAATAGATTTGACAACAGCAAATGTAATGCTAAATCCAAAAGGAATAAATGGTTGAAACCTGATAGTTTCAAGAACTGCATCCCGTTTAGCATTTGAAAAAGAAATAAATAATTTGGAAGTTGAACAAAGCCTATAGGGCTCAAATCTCATTCCATTCAAAATCATCTATCCAGATGAAATATCAAATTTTAGAGTCTACCTCAAGCAATCTCACAATAACAACAATTAGAATGTCAGAAACTTCTCGCAAAACACATATTTATAAAAATAATGCAATGAAAGTAGACTGCATTTTCATAAATATGTAATAAGCAAACTCCACTAGGCTAGCCAAGTTTAGCAACCCCTGAAGGTAACATATTAGTTGATGAAAAGGTACCTTTGTATAAACCTCAAGGACAGCACTCTTAGCCTCAAAGGACTGCATTGCTAATCTTTCAGCATTCCTTGCCTCTTCTCGAACTGATTTCTTCTCCTCCAAAGCCCTCTTTTAGCCCATGCAAGGATTGTTCTTTGCAAGTCAAAAAGGGATCCAAAAGGAAAATAAAAGCATACAAATAATGAAAACAACAATGACAAAGTGTAGGGCACTGCAAAAAAAAAAAATGAAAACAACAATGACAAAGTGTAGGGCGCTGCAAAAAAAAAGAAGAAGCAGTAACTAAGAATCTTTGAAAAGACATTTTCTCATTTGTTCATGAGATTGAGGAGGCGTGTACAACCACCGTGTTGGGCCATGTATCTCATCAAATAAAGGAGCAGCTTATTGGCTGGAACTCTCATATAAGTAGGACGGGTTAAGCTAAATACCAACAGAGCAAGCAAAGTAAGCCAGGTGAGGGCAGGAGCAGGTGGCTTACTGCATGATTCTAATGGTGCGTGGGTGGCTGGGTTTGTGGCCAATGTGGATCAATGAGATGCTATAAGGGCAGAACTGCCTGATGTTTTTTATGGGTTTGGAGTTAGCTCGTCAAAGAGATTGCAAATACATTGCGCTGGAAGTGACGTGGTCCACCACGCTTTACAAGGGCAACAAGGTTTTCTGCAATCAGATCCCTCCATGCACTAGTTTAATCCTTTGAGAAGTTTTCCCTGGGAAATCAGTTTAACTCAGACATATCTGGAGGGAAATAGACCTACTCCCACATATTTGGTGACTGGGGAAACTTTTTTCATCAATTCCAAAATCATGATCTAAAGCCACCCGAAATTCCTCCGAGGCAAGGATTGCCATTTTGTATAACCAGTGAATCATATCTTGCCTTAACTGTTTTACACCATTATAATGTAGAGTAAGGCCATCCCTCCACAGTTCACTGTGGCTCCTATAGTTATATAAACTTCACTAGAGCATGCATTATAAATTTTGGATATTTCAAGTGCCAATGTTTGAATAAGTGGACTTTAATATGAAGAAGAAAATATACCTGTAATTTATCTGGTGATTGAACAATTTTTGAACGTAAATTTGCGTTCTCTTGAACACTTTGTACCAGGTCAAACTCGGCCCTTGAAATCTGAAAAAACAAAACAAAAGCTTAACTATCAACAACAGCCACTATGATGACTCCCCGTAACTAAGCACTCGGAATAAATACCTATCTGTAAGGTAATCCTATATATACACACATGTTCAAAAGATTTACTGGTATTATGATATCATTTTCCTCTCGGCCTTTGAAATCTGAATAATAAATCAAAACATGCACTATATGTAAGGTAAGCATACACATGTTCAAAGTGTCTTCAACCCACATGATTAACATAAAAAGATGTTTTTGTTATCATTCAATGTGATATGACATAATAATATCATGGCGAAGCTCAAGATAGTATTAAGGTAAGGGAAAGTGCATCGAAAAGATTAAAACGTTCCACACAAAGCACCATGATTAACATAAAAAGATGTTTTTGTTGTCATTGAATGTGATATGACATAATAATATCATGGTGAAGCTCAAGATAGTCTTAAGGTAAGGGAAAGTGCATCGAAAAGAAGATTAAAACGTTCCACACAAAGCGCAGATAACTCAAATCTTCAAAGGTTATGTCTAGCCGCCAGACACAGTTAACTTTTATATTTAAATTATAACCTCAAATCAATCCATCAATCAATCACAGAGCATAGAAGCCCCTAAATTCACAAAAATCTATTCACCAAAATCAACAAACAACACATAACCAACTTTCAACATCCCTACCTCCCCGTCCATTTCCGAACTCCTCTCCTTCAACTTCCTATACGAAGCTCTCAGGGACATCTGGTGGTTGTTGAGATCGGCAATCTTTTTTCGCAATTCCTTAACTTTCCCATCAACCTCTTGAACAAGCGGTAACTCTCTCTCCCTCGCATCATTATACTCCGCGATCTCCGCATTCAACTACATGACCCCGAAAAAACATAAAACATTCTTTAATAATAATAATAATAATAATAATTGCAACCTCCTCCTATAAAAATATCATAACCACCCAACCTGGGAAATCTTATCCTCCAAGCCTCTTCGCTGCTCGTCAAGAAGTGTAAGTTCCTCCCCAATCGGCCTCAATTCATTCATTTTCGAGTCTTTATGAAGACAGAAATTGAGAATGGCACTTAGAAAAAACTGAGTGCGATCTCCTTGAGGCTTCAAAAGATCTCTGAGAGTAAACTCAGCAGGACATTGAAGCATTGTTATAACCTCTTTTACCTTAATATAAAGATTCATAATCCGGGCCGACCCGACATGGTAATGCGGGTTCTCAAGCTGCTCTAAAGCTGCAAACTCAACTTGCCCTTCATCTTCCCTGCAAAAATTCAACAATCCTAGCAGAAATTAATTTATCATTATTATTTAAAATAAAAGGAGATAAGATGATGAGACTTACTCGTGGAGAAGATCGAGGTAGACTAAGAGACGGGTGTAGATATCGACGACGAAATCTGGCGTTGGGTTTTTCAGGTCAGTTTCGATTATGGCTGCGATTTGTGACTCTGCAAGGATTGAAATCATGTCCGTACGGGAGAGTATAGGGTACTCGAATTTCGACATTTTTTAGGGTTTTTTTCCTTCTTCTGCTGCAGCTCCGCTGCTCCTGCTGCTGAGTGGAGTGGTGGTTTTGGTGGGAGGGTGTCTGGGGTTTTGAATTTCGATTTTTTTAGCATAGATACAAACTAGTCCCCCAATTATCTGTTTTGTATCGCTTTTGCTCATAAACAATTTTGATTTCTAAATTGGAGCTTTCTTTTGTTCTCACTTCTCAATTTTAACTTTTTGAGGTTTGCTCTTCGGTTTTTTTACTTGTGTAGTGTGTTGAGTTAATTATAATTAGTACTTTTTTATTTCGAGATTACATATTTGATTTCTATATTTATTGTCTAAACTCATTTATAATACAATCATTTTTATTTATTTCATGTTATTTTTTATATAAAAAAATTGTACTATTTTCTATTCCTGTGAATAAAAGGACTCACAGGATTTATATTACTTTTTTGATAAATTCATACAATTAAAAAATAAAAATTTATTAAAATAAAAATTCATGAAATTTCTAATCAAATATATATATATATATATAAGAAAATTTATGTGTGAACACTGCATGGAAGTTGTGTTTAAGATAGTTTGGAAACAAGATTTAAATTGTGTTTCTAAAAAATTATTTAAAATTATTTTTTATATTTTTAGATTATTTTAATATGTTATTTTAAAAAAATAAAAAAAAATATATCATTTAAATACATTTCTAAATAAAAAACAATTTAAATCATAATCATAACTACAATCCCAGATAACTTCGTAAGATTCATAAAATTAAAAAAAATACAGTGATTTATGTGTTAAGAGTCAAGAATTTATTGTGGTATTAAGCAACGTGTTTGACACTGTATTTTAAAAGTGTTCTTAAAAAAAATTATTTTTTTTAGTTTTGAATTAATATAATTTTGATATTTTTAAATTATTTTGATATGCTGATGTTTAAAAAAAATATTTAAAAATAAATTAAAAATTATTGATATATTTTTATGAATAAAAAATATTTTAAAAAATAATTACAATTACATTCTCAAACACATTTTCTTACATTCTCAAACACATTTTCTGTTTCACAATATTTTTATACATGCTTGCAAATATAGAATAACGAAAATATTTAAATTAATGATAATAACGTTAGAGTTTAACACTAGCTAAATTTTTATAGTTAATAGGATATATTAGAGGTCTGAAAGGATTTTAATATACGTAAATATGCATTAGTTTCTATTTTAGAAAACCTCAGAGTTCGAAGATCTATTGCATAAATATCTATGTTAATTTATTTTTTGGGGATTTTTTAAGCCATTTCTGGAATGCATCCCAAAGTCAAACATCACCTTGAATGATCGGCACGTGGAAACAAGCATGTCATTTGCCATTATATGACAGAATGCTTCTCTTTTCTCGCCCGACTGTTCAAAATACATGCTCGAGGGGTCTTGCCATGTGCTTAGAAAAAGATTAACCTTTTCTCGGGTCGGTAATCATTTTCAAATTTTTTACATATATAATGATGTTCTAAAATACAAACTGCTTAGGAATTGGATTTTTAGCGATTATGAGTTAATTACGTGTTCTAGCAAGATAATATATTTTATATTGTTTATCGTACTTGTAGTTTGTCATAAAAAGCTAGTAACCTGTAAAATAATTTTTTAAATTGGAATTTTAGATCATTAAATTAAATGATAGGTTAAGTGAATTTTAAACATGTAGCTACCATAAATGAGAGAGAGAAAAAACATTTATTGTAAAAAAAAGTATTTGTTAGTAGTTTTGATATGATAAATATTTTTAATTTAAAAATATATTTTTATAAAAAATAAATATTATAAACCTTGAACTTCGAGGATTCACGAGATATTTATAAATTGTGAGTTTTTTTACAAAAAAGATATTAAAATATAATTTTATTATAATAATATCTTAAAAGAGATATTCATTCCTTATACGGGTATTAACAAAATATAAATATCTCTTATATAAATATTAATAAAATAAAAAATTTCTCGTATAATTATTATGAAGAGATAAATATCTCTTTCATATATATATATATATGTCATTCATATAATTTTTTAAAATATAAAACACTCTTATTAACAAATATTTTTCTAATTAAAAATAAAAATGTTGTTTATGTTACCTTTTAGAATAATAAAAAGGCAAAGTTTATAAGTTCATAACCAAGTGCAACTCATAGATAAATTTTGAGTTCTCCAAAAAAATTAAAATGACAGAAACATTTTTATCATAAAAGGTAAAATTACTGTTGATTCTAAAAAAACAATAATAATCACATTCACTATAAATTTTTTATTTTTTTTCAAAAACTACATCTTATAAAAATTATTTTCTCAGAGATAATAAAATCACACTCCTAAATCCTAATAAGTGATAACCTTCATGAATGACAAGTTGACTATACTATTTACTATGCTTGAGTTAATGATAAACATGTCTTCTATTATGGTATTTTTTTTTAAAGCATTTTTTATTTAAAAATAAATTATAATAATTTTTCTAACTTTTTTAATTAACATATATTTTTTAAAAAATATAAAAAATCAATTTAATATATTTTTTGGTCAAACATGCATGAAACATGCACACATAAAGGTTGAAATGCAATATTACACTAAAAATATCTTTGTTTCTGTATCTTGAAAAAATATTTGAAAAAATTTAATTTTTTTAATAGTTCTAAAATAAATTTTTAAAAATAAAAAATTATTTTAATATATTTTTAAATAAAAAAAATAACATGAAAACAAGAAACAACATACTTCCTAAGTAAGCATGCAGTCGTCACGCCTCCGCGTCATCATCCACGTCTCTGCACGGCACCGTATCTCTCACGTGCTGTCCTGTCTCCATCTATATATATATATACACGAGCTGCATTTTACCTAGAAGAAATCGTACCCGATCCCTAAAGTCTCAGCATTTGATTCAAAAGTCAAGAACCATAACTGGTGGACAGAAAAACTTCAATTGTTGGAAAATCAATTAAAAATAAGGGTATAAATTGAATAAATATAAAGTATAGAACCAAATTAAAGCTAAGAGTACCTTACATGACATTGATAAAGGCTTCGGAGCCTTAGAAGCTGCAAGCTTTTTACTCTCTCTCTCTCTGCCTGTCTAGCTCTAAACCCCACCTTCTTCTATCCTAGTTGGCCTAGACGGAGAAAACACAAACGCACTGCACTTTCTCTTTCTAGAAAATTTATAATGGCAAGCAATTTCAGTCCTTTTCTCTCTCCACCAGCAAAACGCCCCTTATATTACTCCGACATCTTGCCCGGCCCGAACCCGAATTCCACAAACGGATACTCCGCAAACAAACGCTCTAAACCCCACCCCTCTGCTTCAGCTGCTCCGTCACCAGTCCCGTCGGGGCACGTTTTGTTCCGTCTACTCTGTCACGAGTCAAGAATTGGTGGCATTATAGGAAAGGGCGGCAACGTAATAAAAGGCTTGCAACAACAAACCGGAGCTAAGATCCGGATAGAAGATGCTCCACTCGAATCACCGGATCGGGTGATAACGATAGTTGGTTCAGTTACGCAATCGTCGGTGGTATTTAGTGGAATTGAGAGTGCAATCGAGGTTTCCAAGGGGCAGGAGGCGTTGGTGAGGGTTTTTGAGAGGATATTAGATGTGGCGGGGGAGAGTGATTTGGTGGCGGGTGGGTTGGTTTCTTGCAGGTTGTTGGCGGAGATGAGTTCGGTTGGGGCGGTTATTGGGAAAGGAGGAAAAACAGTGGAGAAGATTAGGAAAGATTGTGGGTGTAAAGTTAAGGTTTTGATTGATAAATTGCCTGCTTGTGCTTCTTCTAATGAAGAGATGATTGAGGTAATTGAAATTTATATTAGGGTTTTTGATTTCAGAGTTTTGATATTTTTTTTCTTGGTTTTATTAGTTTTTTTTTTCTAGAGTAATTATTGAGCTTTGAATTCTATTATTGTGATCTGGGAGCAGATTCTTTATCAGTTAAATGAATATTTATTGCTCTTGTGGAAATGGTTATTATTTGCAGATTGAAGGGGATGTTTCAGCTGTAAAGAAAGGACTTGTCGCGGTTTCTCACCGCCTTCAAGATTCTCAACCGGTTGATAAAACAAGGGTGATTAGCAGCAAACCTGTTGAGGCAGTTTCCAGAGTCTCTTGTCCTGAAGTGGGTGTAGAAATTCTTCCACAGCATTCTGCAGTGCGACCCACCATAGCACAACATTCCGTAGCGCCACCCACTGTAGCAAATAGCTCCATTGATTATGCTTCAGGAACTCATCTTTTTTCGTTCGAGTCCGAGAGGGTCAGCACTCTGGACACAAGTACACCACAACAGCAAGTGGTTTTTAGAATTCTGTGTAATAATGATAGGGTTGGGGGTGTTATTGGAAAAGGTGGCAACATAGTCACGGCTCTTCAGAATGAGACAGGTGCTACTATAAGCATTGAACCTAAGGTGGCTGGGTGTGATGAGCGACTAATCACTGTTACTGCATCTGAGGTTTGGCATTATGTATCCTTTTTCATATTCCTATTCAAGCAGTGGTTATCATGTGGGATGTAGTGCTAATGACTAATTGCACTGGTGTCTTCTCCTGCAGAACCCAGAGTCTCGGTACTCAGCTGCACAGAAGACTGTTGTGCTTGTTTTCTCGAGGGTTGTGGAGTCCGTCATTGAAAAGGGTCTGGATCCAGGCTCAAGCGAGGGGTCCCATGTTAGTGTGAGGCTCGTGGTTTCCCCAAACCAAGTTGGCTGTTTGTTGGGAAAAGGAGGCACGATAATTTCAGAAATGCGGAAGGCAACCAGTACCAGCATACGAATAATAGGGCGTGACCAGGGTAACCCTAAGTGTGTGCCAGAGAATGATCACGTGGTAGAGGTATAATGAAGTCTTTATCGATTCATTTTTTAGTTGGTACTGTGCAAGGATAACAAAGATCACCCTTTTTACTTTTTTGAGGTGCAATTAAAAATGAATCTCAAATTAAATGCTAGAGTTATGGCTTGAGGTCTTAATAACTCTTAAATATTCTGGATTTTCGAAGTAAAAAAATTGTTCAGCTCTTTATTCTGGTCAAGCACAAATCCCTTTTACTGACCTGCTCTAACACAGCACAATTTTTCATAGTCTGTTTTGTTGTTTTTTTGACAGATTTTGGGAGATTTTTTGAATGTGAAAGATTCAATATACCACATTACTGGAAGACTCAGAGATAATCTTTTCTCTAGCATTCTGGGCACTCCTGGAGCAAGGCTCAGTTCTTCTGTATTAGCTGAGACCAGCCCCTATTTGAGATTGATGGACCCAGTGAGGGATGCCAAGAGGGATTCACTGAGGGATCCATTGTGGGAGCCACTGAGGGATATTATGAGGGATCCATTGAGAGACCCACTGAGGGATTTTATGAGGGATCCATTGAGAGACCCTCTGAGGGATGAATTTAGGGATTCGTTGAGGGAAACTGTGAGGGATCCTTTGAGGGAACCAATTAGGGATCCTTTGAGGGGACCTGGGAGGGGTCCATTGAGGGAGGTGGGGAGGGATTCTGCCTCTTTTTTGCAGCCAATGGGGGGTATTTCTCATAATCTAAATCGCCAAACTGTTATAACACAGAGTATGGATCATCTTGGATTTTCACGTACTTTAGATCATTCTCCTTCACCAAGGTTATGGGGATCACAGGTACTATCTTCCTCCCTGTAGGATGTTAATATTTGTCTTTCCCCCTGTTGGGTTATAATGTTTGTTCACTTTGTCTTGATGGGACTGATTGCAGACAATACCTGGAGTAAATCCACGGGGCATATCAGATCTCAGTGGAGGATTGCCTTCTTTTAAAGCTGGCCTAGATGATCTTGTCAGGTTAGTAACATGTTACTTGGTCTGTGAAAACTTGAAGACCTTTGCTCTTGTATTAAATAGCATGTAGAATAAAAACTGTTGAATTTTAGGAGTGAGAAGAGGAAGAGTTAGACCAAAACAGTGTCACCAGGGGTTCAATATCACAATTCTTAGAAACTTTAACCAATTAGATAAGTGAATGGAAAGAAAGGGTTTACTAGGCTGACTGTGACTAGTTTGGGATAGAGCATACTTGACTTGAGTTTCATCATCATGGCAATTGTTATTTTAATCAGTAATTAGATTTAGTGCAACTTCAGTAGACAGGAATGGAAGAAAGCAAGACCTAAGGCATTTTACCCAAATTTTATAGGAAATAAATAAGTCATTACTATTATTTGAAATATGATAAAGCATTCTCCCTGACCAGTCATCTAAAACTGCTGATCACTTGCACTTTATGAGCTTTTGCCTCTTTCCTCTGGCATGCAGTGGAGGTAAGTCTGCTTTTGTTACGAATACAACTGTGGAGATTGTAATACCTGAGCATACTTTTGGTTCTGTATATGGGGAGAATGGTAGCAATCTAGCTCGTTTGAGACAGGTATGCACTTCTGCCTTTTATTTTTCTGTTAATTTTGCTTCTGCTGTCCAAGATAGTTAAACAAGTAAATCAATATGATTTATTACTCATTGAATGGAGTTCTCATTGTCACACGATAATCCTAAAGGCTTTTTAGAAGTTGCTTCTACAAGCATTACTGTTGTTATTATTTTGGTTCATTATTTTGAAGGAGAGGAAAAGAATTTTGACACAGTGAACCGAGTTGAAAACCATCTAAAGAATAGCACTTAAGTTTAATTCTCAAGCATCAATGTGTCTTCTCCTTGGCCAGACTATTCTGGTTAATGAGAAATGGAACATATTCTTTCCCTAGCTTGATAAGAATTTTAATTTCTTTATTTTCCCCTTTGAATTTTGTAAGCTATTTTTTTTGCTAGTTTATCGTAAGCTACTCTTTTCTGTGTTGATATATTAATGGTGCTTCTATTCCTGTGGGTGTGATATGAATTATCAACACTTATCAACACCATCTGTGTAAATTAGTAAATGTACGTACATGAAGAATAGGATTAGCCTAACAACTTGAGGCCACCCAGTTTGAAACAGTTTTGACACATAAGTTTACATGTGTAATGTACAAGTAAAATTCAACCTCGTTATTAGATGTAAAAAGACAACTTGTATAATACCAGCTGCTGAAGTAAAAATGACCAACTTTCTTGTTACACAAAACTGAAATGTTAAACAAGAGAGAAGGCACAATACAATTAGTTTGATGCCCACTACCTTTGTAACCAATCTGCTCAGAAACTGACCACAAATATGATACAATTGCCTTGAGGCCAAACTAATTTCAAATGCTTAAACCTACAAATAAGCTGATTGAAATTCCTTGAAGACAACCCACTTAACCATTATGCACCTTAAATTCCTCTACACAAGACTTGCACCTATAGAAGAAAAATAGTAGTGAAAGGCTTTAATAATTTTAACTTGATTCTCATTATAAAAAGCATAAATAAAACCATACCTTTGAATTTTCTATCTTTCTAATGTATTTAAGTTGAAGAAATATGAAATCTTTAAGGAAAATATTCTATAACTAATTATCCATCAGGTATAGAAGTTGGGCATTAGAAATGAGTCTTCCTGATTATTAGGATTGCATTATTTTTAATTTAGTTTACAACTTATTAATTATTTCAGTAATAATTGAGAATGGTATGTCCAAAAAGTGTTTCACACCTTAAAAACTTTTACATACATTATTCATCTTATCTTAAATCTACTTCAGCTTATCCTCTGGTGTTCATTAATCAGTTCTCAGGTGCCAAGGTAATAGTGCATGAACCTCGTCTAGGAACAAGTGACAGGATTATTGTTATATCTGGGACCCCTGATGAAACCCAGGCAGCTCAGAGCCTCCTTCACGCATTCATCCTCACTGGACAATATTGACAAAAATTTGTTTGGTTGGAACTACTTTCACAAAGAAGTCACAGTTGCTTCTTTTAGTTTCCTTTTCTTTCACCAAACTGTGTACACTAATCCTTGCCTTATTTTATGACAAACCCTCATTTTGGAATAGGCAATTCAGCAATATGTTTTGTTGTCAGTGAACTTAACTGTTTTCTGATAATCTTGTTTTCATAACCAATTAGTTATGTCATATCCTGGTTTCTGTCCAACTTATCATGTCCTTTCTTTGCGCTCTCACACACACATTTCATCATTGGACCTTGGAACATTTAGTTCTAACAGATACTTGAATTGGAAGGCAAAACCTACACTGACATGAATCACAAACAAGCAAATACTAACTTGTCTCAGCATTGTGGAACATTTCCCTTCAATAACATCTGTACAACATGATAAAGAACACACCTTCTGTTATAATCTTGTTGCTGATTTCATTGGGTAACAGAACATTCCCCATAAACTGATTCAAACTGATTAATACTTGACCAGGAAGGTTAAACTCCCTTACATGAGGACACAAAATAACAAATTCCGAAAATACATCTGCATTTTAGAACATTGTACTGCACTTATTTTTTTTGTGTTACACCATTATGTTGTGCCATCAGGAACTGGCAAATTTCCAGTTTAGGAAAGGTAGCGTTAACGATCCAGTTTGAAAACTTTGTTTCAAATCAGGGGAGGACTTAATAGTTCGTATAGAGTCTTCAAAAGAAGAAAATGTTTATTAGACCCAATGTTTTTTTTTTTTCCTTTTTTGTCTGTTTAAAGAAATTGTTGGACCTTTTAATCATTTATTTACTCTTACACGGTGCATGGAGCATAGGAGTGTTGGTTCCTGGTTTTGGCAGCTTTAAATGATAAGAGTTAAATGCCTAAAGACGTGTCTTTTGCACGTATAAAAAAGGATAGATGAGTTGAGAACTATAACTCTCAACTTTTTGAGGGATTTTTGGGTTGACTACTCTTGAAGGATTATTGGTTGCTTGGTGTAAAGGAATTGTGGAAACCCAATTGGATTAGGACAGTTTTAAGTGATAGAGTTAAATGCCTGTAAGTTTGTGGTTTCTGCACCCATGAAAAGGATAGATGGGTTTAGAAGATACTGTTTACTCTTTGAAGGATTGCAGGGTTGAAACTATACACTTTTAGATACGTAGGATTTTGTTTGATGAGGAAGATTTATAAAATTTATAGTTTGTTCATCTTCTTTTTGGGGGGTTCATGTGACGCATAGTCAAATGAACATTGTAGTTTCCTTTGTTTCTGAAAATATGTAATTTGTACAAGAATACTCTTGACAAGGCGTGCCTTGGATGGGATTTGGATTGAATCTAATACTATGGTTGGGAGGATGGATAAGGGAGAGGATGGAAATGACAAGATATTAGAAACCAGAGGGGAAAAAATAATGGAAAGCAATCTTTTCTTTTAGTTTTCTGGTTGGTAAGAAAATAGGAACTAAACTTTGCAGTGATTGGAAGTAAAGAGGACAAGGAAATGTAAGGTTGAAAAGAGAAAGGGAAACGGATGCCTTTTCCTCTCCCAATTCTTCTGACCTGGATGGATTTCTTTTTCCTATTCTTCCATCTTTCTTTCCCCACCCTTTTGTAGTGTAAATGAATGCAAACCGAAGTCCAAAAAAAAATAAAAAATAATGCTTCTTAAGTCAGTCAAATGTAACATGCTTTTTATTCATGTTGCTTTGGGTAATGAGCTTTTCAATTCAAATTGATTGCACCTGAATCCAAATATGAAACTTCCTTGCACGATGGCACAAATGAATGATGGAATCTGTATATGCAACATAGAACACACCCTTTTATATCTTTACAGCACATTATTGTGTCATTGAGAATCTGCAAATGTTATGTCCAAACAGATTGAAATATGTATCTGCACTGTAGAACATTACCCTGCAGTAATATCAATTTCATATCCTTGTTGTGAAATCCAGAATACTCAAATATTCAGTCCTGAACTGGTTCGGTTGTCAATTTATTTGTTATAATAGCAATTTCATCTCAATATAGGGAACCACCTTAACAATGGACACAGTGGCAGACTAGAAACTTTCTGTAGGGAGATCCAGAGGATATGCTTAGGCCATTCATATATATATGTTCATGGAGCCGGTATATATATTTTACCCAAAAAAAAAACAGAAGAAATGAACACGTACAATGGTAAAAAAACTGTGTTAAGAAAGTTGATGATGTTAATTGTTGACCCTCTATTTTTTTCGAGTACCTTAGCTTATTTATGTTCCAAGATCATAGGAACGATTAAATAAGTCAACGGCATGTAGCTACCGCACCAATGGTATGAGAAGAAATATAAAAAAATAATTCATTACAACGAAAGAAAGAACTAAATGTTAAAATTCATGTGAACCTAACTCAGTATAAAAAAAAATAAGTGTAGATTAAATATGAACAACAAAGAAGAGGGCACCCCGCGCATTTAGCTTCTTGTAATCTGAACTGGCCACACTCAAAAGCTTACCGTCAGTGCACCTCGTGGAGGTCATGATTTTTGTACATAGAAAAACAAAAAAATAGCAGATATTTCAGGTGTATGCTATTAATTAATAGGCGCTTTTGAGAAAAAGAACATATCAACTCTTCGAAGATCATTGGTTTGATTACACTTTTGGCAACATGGTTCGATATTTTTCCATTAAGGACTGTGACCTTGGTTGTCTCTTGTCTCCGTGGATCAGTGGGTGACCATTTTTTTTTTTTCCGGAGAGAGATGAGTCGCGCATCCTTGGTGTCTATTTTTGTAGGTTTTGTTGACTGTTCATCACTCAGATAAATAACAAAATAAACCTCGAAATAGATACAATAAGGTGCTATCCTTGGGTCAGATTTCGACCAAGTTGACACCATATTTGACCAGGAGAAAAAATGAAGATGATGAAAATTAGAAAGTATGAACATAGAATTATATCAAGTATTCTCTCGCTGCTCTAAAAGTGCAAGGCAGAAAGCAATTCATCCCTTATGTTGTTTGGCTAGTGGAGTAGATGGAAGTCTGAATATTAGGCAAATAATAAAACGCATAAATAGAGGGACTGAAAATGCAAAAATGAAAGAAATGGACGTGTCCTTTTACTCTTCTTGCTTTATAAATATATATATAAAACGTGTAAATAGATGGAAGTCTGAAATGGATGTCTAAACAAATGAGATTAGCACTTCCTCTATCCCACTTCCATCCCTATTTATTCATCTAGCCTTTTACACCTTGTTTGGAACTCAAATTTCCTTCATGCATGGAGGTAAGAGATTCATGATCTTGGAAAGACGAGAGATACCTCTACCAGGCTAAATCAGATGTACTTTACACTATTTTTTTCTGTACTTTCTTTCCCACCTCCTTTCAATGCAAAAATATATTGTAAATGAAGGCAACCAGAGGTCCATTTAATGTATTTCTTAGAAGCTATTTGAAAACAGATGCAAATTATATTCCTAAAAATTTCATTTTTTTTTTTGAAAAAAATGTTTTTTATATTATTTTAATATGTTAATTTTAAAAATAATTTTTAAAAAATAAAAAAATATTATTTTAATACATTTTAACATAAAAAACACTTTAAAAAATAATGCACAACATTATCAACCAGGCTAAACCACACTAACAATCAGGCTAATTAGAACAAAGTATTATTCATACATCAAGATATATGTCACAACAAAAGGATCTGCTGGATACAAACTCCACACTCTTAATTCTTCACAACTGAATCAGTTGCCGGTTCTGATGCTGGGAGGGGTGCTGCCTTGAGAATGATTTCCACATTGTCATGGACTCCTTGTAGCAACAACTCACCGTCATATGTAAGAAATTTACGCTTCTTTGCGGCTCTTAGCGTACCTACCAATGCCTCAAATATGTTTGCACACCTATCGTCATTGAACAACACACCAAAAGTAACCTACAATGCCAAGGAAAACAGAGTTTATGGTAGGGAAAAATGATAACAAAACAGCATGTTAAGATCTTGCTACAGGAATGGGTGATACAAATTCCAACTTCCTAGGTCTGGTTTCTTGAGATTCAGGAGCATGCCTATTCGCACGTACTTGTGCATGCAATCAGTTGATTTAGTTCCTTGAGTCTATCAAGGAAAAAAAGATAGTGATGTCCATTACAGAGTGAAGATATCTAATACCAACAATTTGAACCTTGTATTGTATGGATTGATGAATGGAGAATACCTAACTAGTGAGTTGTATGCAATGCATTGTGTTTTTCCTCGAGTATGATCAACTTGTGTGACCTGGAGAACATCCTCAAGAATTGACACGGGTAAGGAATCATAATGCAGCAATTATCCAACTGAGGTATGCTGTGTATTTTTTTTAGACAACTGATTTGGTTTTTGTGAAGCATTTTGTAATGTTGAAAATGAGCAGGCATATAAAGCAAGAGAGCAAGGATGCAGGGGACCAGCTCTAGGGCAGTGAGTTGTAATTATGAAACAAGCAGGAATCATAGATTAGTTGAACTCTGATATGTATCACTTTGTAATATTGAGTATATGACAGTTTTATTTAATCTTCTCCTTGTCCTGTCACCCTCTAAATCCAATAGCTATGCTTTCGAATATTGAGCATGGTACTGCTACAGTAATCTTGAAATGCATCAGCAACAGAGCATTTTCCAGGTGCTCGACTAGTTCAGAATGTTCGAAAATCAGATTCGAAACATCCTAGATCTTCAAAACTAAAAAGGCAATAAAATTTGAATAGCCAAAGAGTCGCTAGCACATCAACCCCAGTGACAATCAACGAGATAAAAACATCATGTTATTTAAGGAGAAAACCTGCTTCTGGCATGACATGGGATCCCTCAAAGGACTCGAGTAGCTAAAAATAGACCCAGGATTGTTAAGAAAGCTGTTCTTGTTCAGAAATGCTAAAGTTACTCGTAGTCTTGAAGTGGTAGAGAGGTGAGAGACACTAGATCTAAAGAAATTTGCAGAAACTGAAAACTGTTCGATGTGTTAGCTGCCTGTAACCGTTGTTCAAGGACCAGAGAACTCTGTATTGTGGGCTCCTTCAAAAATAATCTTCAAAGGGCATAAACTTACCCACCAAACCGTTGACCTTCACATCCTGCAACTTGTACATATATGATAATGGAACAGAAGAGCCAACGTGGAAGGAAGAACAAGAAGCAGCAGCTGCAGCTAGATCTAAGTTTTACGAGCAAACTCAACAACAAAATGGATGACAGATCCAGTGCATGGAGATCCGGATCATAGCATTTTCAAAGAAATCACATGCTTAAATTCCAGAAAAAAAAATATAATGATATGTCTGCAACTGTACACGTAAATTTACCTTGTAGGAACCATCAGGCTGGACCTTGCCAAGCCTTTGGATTTCTTCTTTGAGTCTTTCAACCTCTTCTTCAACATTCATGGTCTCTCTCTCTCTCTCCTCTTCTTTTTTCCTTTGAGGTATCTTCTCTCCTTGCAGTTTCTTATCCAAGTTTCGGAATTTGGAGGAATGTCTTTTATGCTTTTATTGTACACTTCCCCATAAAATAGCACCTTTTGGTTCGATGAAAGGGCCTATCCAGCTGTCCTCTTTGAAAAAAATAATAATAATAATACCTTGAACGAGAAGAATTATTAACTAGATTAAAATTTAAATGATATTGCATATTGATTGGTGACATGGTTGATTTAATTAAATCTAATAAATTTACTATCAAATAATTTCATTTAAAAAGTAAAAAAAATATTGTTTTTTATAAAAAAAAATTAATCAAAAAAATTAATCATCAATTATACTTTAATTGTGTGAAAATTAGCAAAAGAAAAACCATATCATTTTTTAAGATTAAAATATGATCTCATCTTAAATTAAAAAAAAAAAAAAAAGAAGTGTGCTAGT